CAGAATCGTAGTGCCGTAATGAGTGCGCATGTGGCCTATACAATGATTTGCGGTGGCAAGCCGATGTACAAAACAGTGCTTTTATCCTCCCAGACGAGTCTGGTACCAATTCACCGACCCCGGAGGGATGAAAGGCCTGGTTGGCCTAGGCGGGCATCGATCCGGGATTCGAACCCCTGACTGTGCGTGTGGTAGAGTGCCCCACTTGCCGCTACACGACCTCAGCCCACAACAGACACAACAGCTTTATCAAATAGTTTATCATAAGGCATCGATTTGTGAATATTTAACTAATTTTCTAGTCTAGCGTGCGAACAATAAACAGAACAAAATTTTCAGACTGTCGCTGGATGTCAAATCAGAGTTTGTCCAGAAAAAAAATTCGTCAAAAACAGCTGTTGAAGTGATCAAACGCCATTATAACCATCGACTTATTGACTTGATATTTGGCTTAGGTTTACTTAGTGCTTTTAGTCCTTACTCGATTGTGATAGAGCGTCATTTTGGCGCAGAATTAAATAAATAAACAAATCGATATCCTGCGCGACTCACTGCGACTTTTGCACAAGGTATGTTGGTCCACACAGCTTCGCCCTGTCAACGCTACGTCAGTTAAAAGGAATCCTACCCACCAACACAACTGATTCGGCTTGAGCTTACTGCTTCATGGTCGACGACTTCCAAGTATATTCATTGTTGTGGAATTATCGTCAAGCTGTTTAGAAAGTAATAAACGAACGTTTACGACAACGAGTAGCGATGAGGCTCCGTCACTGCCCTCCCTTGCTTGCTTCGAACATGAAGTGATTGTGAGTCAACTTCGCATGAATAAATGGCGATTGGGTGTTCCTTGAATGGGTTTTAATCATCATTAAAGTTCACTGTGACAAATCAGAAAAACTTAAATTCGCATGTTTCATACCCCAAACAACCCTAAAATAAAAACACTGATCGATCGAGGAAACACTTATTCCAGAACCGATCCACTAATTATTTTACGCTACTAACAGACCCACCCCTAAGGTTCAGTTTAGGGTTTGAAGTTAGAATTCAGTCATTGTGGCAACGTAAAGTTATGCTCGATTGATACGAAGAACGACAAACGCACCTAATCAAGAGAACGCAGACAGCGGGGCAAAACGTCCACCCACCCCACTCGTAGCTGGCAGCGGGCCAGAAACCTTTCCTGACAGCCTTCCCTAATTGCCCCTCATTTTACGTGATATTACGGACTAGTGAAGCTACAGTGTGCTCCTATGCGTTGAAGAGAACTGCGAACGTTTTTTTTTCAAATCAGTTGTTGTGCGAGATCACCCATCTTCCTAGCATGTGCTTCTATGGTATTCGTCTGGCTTTTAGAGATGAGGTTGCTCGGAAAGTTTTTGAAGGTTGCCCTTGTTGCTTGGGAACCAGCTTACCTGAAACAGAGTAGTTTAACTGCCTAATTCTAGATACTGAGAAATGCATTGGCGTTTTTCTTCCAGAACCCAACTTATTCTAGTATTTGAAATCATATTGAAACATTTAGTTACTTGTTTCTGAAAGGTAAACACTGTTTAAGGTAGGAATCAAGAAGTACGTGAGGTAGGCGAAGGATCTGCTTTGTAAATGTGACAAAAACGTTTTTGATGATATCTGGATTCCTGTTAATCACTGTCCAATGGTATCCTGCAGCTTTCCGATCCACTTCGCATTCATTCCATCCAGAGTCCTCATCGAATTCAACCGATCGACTTCATTTTGCAATCAAAGATTGATTATTCCTGAGAAATTCCTGTTATCGAAATTCGTGATAACAAAAGATGGTTTTATTGAACATGAAGGATATTTCAGCATGAGAGAGGGAGCCGTGCGGGAAGGCGATGGTTGCCAGACAATAGTTAGTTCATTTTCTCTGTTATTGAAAATTTTCTTGAGCCCGAATGTATTTATGAGTTGGCGCCAACTCTTTGCTCATATTGGCATGGGTGTTATAGTTAGATCGATCTTAAATTGACCTGAATGCATCCGTGAAGATCTGTTGTGATGTCTCTATCTCGTCTGTATAAAACTGCATTCAAAGTTCGAGTTGGCGCATCGCAAACATTGCGAAGACGCCTACGCCAGAGTCAGCCCGCGTCGATATTACCCTCGATGATCCATGCCAAATTTGATTGCCTTTTAAGCATTCAAAGAACAAAAAATCTTGTTTAAAAGTTCCAAATTCTTGTGGGTCATTTAGGTGGTCATCACGTGGTAAAAAATGATAAATAATTAACATTAACAATTATCAGAACATAGAGAATAATAGGGTGCTTTATATGAGAAGCAAAGCCGCACCTAGATGGAACTGGTTTAATCGCAGGGAAATCAATATAAGGCTGTAATTAATTCGTACGAAAAAGTACGGAGTAAAACTGCCCCATTGAGCTCTTAAAAGGATCCAGATCCGTCACGAATGCGCTATATCGATCGACAGCTGGCGCCGACACCCACCGACAGGGACCCCGGTACTATGAACGGAACCAAGTGAATCGAATTATACTCGGTGCATTTCAACCTGCCAACCCAATGTCAAACGAAATAACCTCCTGTAGGTTATGTTAGTGAAAAGGGTTTATCATGTTTCTCAGCCCACTTCAGATGACTTCCACTTGTTTTGACGCTACCAATACTTAGATGTACCCATTCTCCCAGGTATAGTACATAAAACTTGAACAAGACCAAAAGCCCTATCATGCGCATCCGAATGCACATATTAGAGGCCATATTTCCAGCCATTACTCCTCCAACTTTTTACATTTATCGATATCAACCCTGCTTGACGATTTATGCGTGATCTTTTTCAGGCTCGACGATATGCAGTTCGTACACATGTAGCTCACTCAAGGTCCCTCTCACCACATTTTCAATCAAACGAAATTGCGATGGCGCCGTTGAACGAGTCATCGATAGTAAATCGTTTTCCATCGATTGATCTCTCTATTAGACCTTCCCTGCATCAAATACTCGAGCAACCCGAGCAGTTCTTTCACATCAGTCAGCAGTCAACCAAGGTACTTTCTTTATCTTTTATTGTTCAAGCTGCATTTGAATTTACTGGACATGTATTTTAACAGATGAGCATTGATCACAATCGACGCACACGTCTTTCAAATGAGTTGAAACGACGAGCGGATATTGAGCGCTATCGTGAGAGCGTAATGAAACCAGCTAGTTTGCGCCAGGTTGGTACCAAAACTATCTCACAGGTCAGTCATCTGTGGGTCTAAGACGTTTGGGTATACACGCATGAAAAGGTGCCTCCAATAAAGATTTGTTTTTTCAAACCACTCGATGGGGTCGGGTAAACATAGGGGAAGATTTTTACTTTTTTTGAAGAAAGGCTTTTGTGGGCTCTTGAAGTTCTTTTCTTCTTTCGTTCCGAGAAACATTCTCAAAGCGATGCTTTCATGAGATCCTTGGCTTCTGGTTAGACTACCTGGACATGATTTGGTTGTAAGCCCTTCAGAGAATGAGAAAGATATATTCTGTTTTTACTGATCCTTTCAAGTTATTCTTTGATCCAATGCATTGTCCAGTTAACTTTTGAAAATATGTTGTGTTGTTGTCCCACTCGAGGGACTCATATCGATATTGGGCACTGCTTTGTTTATGTTTTTTGACTGTTTTCTTTTCGTGATCTGAGATCGTAACAGTGTAAATGTACATCAGTCAAGAAAAAAAAAACTTCAGGAACTCGTCGATGTCGAACAAGTGACTCTTACAATGGAGGTGACGTATAGCGATTATGAAGAAATGTTCACTAAAAGGTTCTCTAAAATTCTTCTCTTTTATACTAAAACTTTCAAAAGCTATTTTACGTTTAAGAACTCTTGGTAATACTGAAGAAAGTTGTGCTAATATAATGCTCGAAACAAACACAGTTATACAATTTCCTGATCGCGATGAACCTAACCCAGACTTTATCCATCAGGTACTTTTGTTTTTTCTTTCTTGTTTACGTTATCAGTATGATTTCTTGTAACACAAAAATTGCCAAGGAGTTTTTTGCTTTATGTTAAATCCTATTATTCTTTCGGTAAGAAAAGTTGGACTGAACTGATCTATGAATTGAAATAAAAGAAACGATATTTGTGCCCCTATGATCATCAAAGCTTTGAATTTGGCTATCCCGCCATCCCATATGATGTGAAATTATGGCTTGTATCTGCATGGTGAATAAGATGTTTGCATTGAATGAATTTGATGAATTTTAAGGTTACCATCACTGGACATCTCACAGGCGTCGAAGAAGCACGAATTCGACTGCGGGTACTTAGCATTTCCTTTTTCTGTATCAGAATCAGTGCACCCTGTGCCGTATTTCATGTGATCTAGAAAATTCAATCCCATTTGTGATGCCATAATTTAGAAATTCTGTCCGTTGGTGTTGATGTTTGCTGTATCCGAAAGATTACGTGAAGGAATCCCTTACAAAAAACTAAATTGTTGGATAAAAGAGCGAATAGAAGATGGTTCCATTAACTTTCCTTCGCTTGTCATACAAGCACTTCCACAGCCTGTAGCGACATCGTTCAAGGTGATTTGTTATTCTTCATATTCTTTGGTGTCGTTAGTAAATGGTTGTAGACATATGTATGAACAGAAAGCTATCTGACGCAATCATTTAAGAAAGATTAAACGTGATGTGTAGGACTTTTATCAAGCTGATAGTGTGGTGTCGACTTCATCAATTTCTATGATGATGCGTATTAGCAACCTTACACTTCTAGTAAACTAAAGATATTAGTGACAAGCGTTTGCCGACTCCAACGAAGCCGACTAAAAAGCTGTCATTGTGATAACGACATGTTTCAGGAACCTGTGATACGCATCAGTGGTCGCGTTGCAGATGAAGAATTACTTTCAAAAGCCTGCGAACGTCTACGCGAATTGCTTTTTGTTCCTGAAGTTGCGGAAAAGGTAATAACTTGCTATTTGAGTCAGATTAGATCCTATTAGTCTAAGATTAAGAGGAAATCTCGCTAAATTACGGCCCTAGAACGATACTTTTGCGGCCTGGCTTCCTTGGAGGACCTTAGAAAAGAGCAACTCGAACGTCGCTGTAAAATTCTATTATTTGCTGTCCTTTTTTCTTAGCTTTATTGATCTTCATTAGAATGTATATAAATGAGCACAAAGCCATATCAAAAGCTTTTACGCCCATTGCTTTTTTTCTCGGTCATATTAGCTTCAATAGTAATTCCATTTCACTAATTACTAATGTGTTTAGATATCATTTTCTACCCACATGGAAGTGCCGGCTGCTCAACGATCCCAAATTGTAGGAACACCGGATGGAGCGCAACTGGTGGGATCCTTCGCAATGATGAATTTTTTGGTTATCGCCAAAAAAGCGACTCCCTAAATGATTTTTCCTTATATAAATGAACTGCTTCTATGAAGTATCAGATGTCGCTGAATTATTATAAAATTTCTGGTTAAAAACTATGGCTGTACAAGATTGTCTTTCCAACTATAATTAATCTAGTTGATTACAGCTTGTTATTTCTCGATTCACAAAAGCTTTGTTACACTTCCCTTCTCATTCTGAGGAATCTGCACAGACCCTGTTTTTCTACTTTACGGGGCAACCAGATTCTATTTTGAGAGCTCGTCGATATGTACAGGTGAGTCTTTTTCCGTTAGGGAGCTGTTACCTGTAATTAGTTTTTATAAGTATAATTCCCTTCCCAGGGTCTTCTTCCCATGCAATTATGTTTTCATGCTGGCAGTGAAGATCTTCGAGCCCACATCCAAGCAGAGGTTGAATATTGTTTTATTTTATTGGTCGCAAACTCTATCTCTCTGCACAACCGGATTGTAGAATGTGAGATTGGTTATGCTTCAGAATCGCTTGATAAAGTTCTATGACGAGATGCTACGGGTTTCTGTCCGCGTAATACCATCCGACCTCGAATCTCTATCAGTTCTTCCGGGTGACCAGATGAGGGTATGTCTCGAAACATTTTTTCCAAATAAAAGTTCATCGTGTTGAAAGATTCGGTTTTCAGCACTTTATCTCTCTTCGAACTAGTGAATACAATGTGGGTGCACTATATGCTGTGATGCGTCGAGTTCTCAAACGTGGGGAGGAAATACCCATGATCACACCTACAGATTACGCCGAAATGCTTCCGCTTGTACCTGATCTCATTAAATATGCATGTGAAGTGAACGTGAAGGTAAGAAGAGCCTGCAATAGTTTCAGAATAGGAGCGCTCACGCAGTTTGTAATCATTAATATCTCCACTTTCACGTTTTCGCTCAAGTTGCAAATGCCGTGTGTAGTTTGTATGGTTGATTATTTCTAGCAGAAATTCGCATTAGATGTTGGCTTTTTTTGACTGAACCCTTAACCCTGAAGGCAGGAGAATGTGGCTGGAAATCATTCGCAGATTTGCCATCGTGTGCTTTTCTAAACCTTCGCTTATAAGTGAACTTTATTCAGTGTCGTTTGGAACCACGGATCCTGGATCTTCCCTTAGTATCAGCCATGACTTCTCCTATTCCCAACTCCTTATCTTCCAACCATCTGTCACTAAACCTTGTCGATCAGGCCAATCTAGCTCTGAATGTAGCTGAGTCTTCAGAAGGAAGTAATTCATCCCGAAAGAAGCCTTCACCTGGTACTTTTCAATTTGATCTCTCTTCTCTTCAGTACGTTTGTGTTAGGGCTACGTTTATGTAATACATTTAGTTTCCTACAATCGGCAAAACTGCTTGGATACTTCAGTCGATACAAATTCCTCAGCGCAATCATATAAAAGTGAAAATGGGACATCTTCACGTTAGTTGTTGCACGTGTCACTACTTTGCTGTTTCTCTTATGTGTCTACAAACTGTGTTTTAGATGCTGGCGGTTCTAACCGGAGTAGGAACTCTTCACCGCATAACATTTACTCTGCTAAATCCAACTTACGATTCAGCGACAAAGAAAATAACACTAGAGGTGAGCTTGTCCATTAATACCCCTACTTAACTCGATTCTTTCCAACAAAACCCTTTTTTACCCGATCTCTGTTGCTCTTTCAGTATTTTTCTTGAACCCACTACCCCCATATCAGCCTCTTAACCAGCCGCCTTTTGTCACCCTCTCAAGTTTTGGAGGATAGACGGGATTGTTCTTATCAGCACCTCAGCCGCTTACTTGCGATTAACAGCTTATGCGTTATTTCTATCTCATTAGGTGTAGCAATGTTTTAGGAGCATTCAGTAACTACGGACGTGGCAAGAACTACAATAACGAGCGTCGAGTAAGTGTTGATGTAATTATTTTTTCGCATTCTTAACCAAAAGTTTAAATTTTATGACTTTATTAATTTGAAAGCTACTTTTAGAACAACTCATTTCGATCGTTTCGCTTTGGTGCTACAAATCCTCCTCACTCAAAGCACCATCTTGCATTACGTAACAGAGAGGGTGATATTGAGGTCAGTATCAGGGGCATAGAGTTGGCATTTGATAGGCCTTTTCAAGAAACTTAACGGATATATGTATGTCCAACTACGTGTTATGAATACTTTGTGCATTATAATATTGTTACTGCGCGGATTCAGTATTTAGTGTTTTCTTACAGAAAGCTGGCGAAAGCCGTCTTCAACGCAACCCAAACCTGCAAACAGGTATTGCGTTTCATTTATTTTGCTATTTATTTTATACTTTTCAAATATTTTATTGGACAGAAAACTATTCTCGTGCTGGCGGTGATGATGTTTACCTACGTCGACGAAACAATCATCTTCAAAACGGTGCTGACCGCCTGAATCATGGGTAATTAAGTTAAATATCGTAATAAAGAATCCTTCTGTGTGTAAAATATGAAAGATATTATTCGACAATTTAAGAGTTTACGAACGGCGTAATGGTGCAGAATGGCGAGCTAACCAATCGAAAACTGCAGAATCATTCGTTAGTTACTCACACCCTGGAAAGACTATGCTGGCAATGGTTGACATTCGAAACTTATTGTTGTTGATTCATTGAAAATACGCTGTAATTTACTCTACTCACAAGTTATTAAGCTGAGCGGAAAGTATCTGTCAATAATTTCGCAATAGTCCAGGTCCTACGGGGATTTTCTGATGGCTTCCATGAGATTTATTTGTAAGGACAGCACCCAGGGGCCGTAAGGTATGCTGCCCCAAACAGGGGAGGGTCTCCTTCCCGGTAAGGTATGTCTCGGGGAGAGCAGAGAGAGAGAGACCCGAATCGGGGCGTCCCAGCCCCGAACAACAAACACGCACTCCTCTACGAGACCGGATCCGGCTACTCCACTGCTTTGGAGACTATTAAAACTTGTGTCAAGCATCTGGCCTTGAAACCTTCTGAGCGCATCTCGTTCCAACGCTTCACAGCTTGAAACAAAAAGGTCGAAGAAACCTCTGCCTGGTCATTATATTTTATCAAATCTTAAATGATTTTATTAAATGTCCTTGTATGTTGCAGTAAGTAGTAGTACAAGTAAGTTATGTCCATTTTTAATATTTCTACGGAAGTTTCTGAAAAATCCCAGTAGAAATCTGGACGAATGTGAGAATTCGGCAAGTACTCTCCGCCCTATCTAACGTTTTCGCACGCCCTCTTCTATATTTTGCATCAGTCGAAAACTCTTCAAGGAAAGTTGTTTGATTATAATACCGTTCTTCTTTTCCATTTCAGAACCAACGTCCTCGTAATGAGAAGATTGAACTCCAGCGGCGTGATAAAGAAGAACAATCCGTTGAAGATCAAGATTCACACATTTATCGGCAGTCGAATAAAAGGTGATGTTCCGAGAAAATATATTCGAAAATTAGTAAATATTGGGATTATTTGTCTTTGAGCAGATTTATATCCAGGGAAAAAAGGGTTAATTGCAGAATGGATGTCATGGACCTCATCAAACTTGCATCCGGTGAGGATAACGACCGAAAGTTGACGTTAGTTGGGGACGACACCAGTATACTTGACTCTGGTGATGCGACTGGTTCTAACTCAGTCACTGTTTGCAACAAATCAGATACAGTTGACGGCTTTCAGGGGTGAGTATTACATTTTTTGCATCAGCCTATAATAATTTACTTTTACCAGAATCGTTGCTACTAGTGCCTTGGTTCCAGAGAAACAGATGTAGCAGCAAGTATTTCCTCGGATTCTAACGCCTTGCTAAGTTGTAGTTCCAGCAATCTTCATATACAGCGATATCATGGTTCGTTACCTCCAAATTGTTTGTACCATTTCATAGTTGAATATTTTATCTTGATTTTCTCAAAATATAATGGATCTGCTGAGATTGCTAATGAGTGCCTCCCTTTGAGCTTTTTCCCATTCGCTCTGGCAAACGCTTTGTATGTTTCACAATCGCCATGACTTATCACTGGCGGATTAGTCAGGGATTGGGCTATACTTTATTCTCATTAAATTTCTTGCAAAAATATGACTAGCTCGACATC